CACACACACACACACACACACACACACACACACACACACACACACACCCCCTCCAAAGAGCTCTGTGACTGCCCGGGAAGTCCCAGCACATTGCCTATAGGGGAGCTTTGAAGCAGGACTTTCAGGCGGGGAATTGGTACGTTTTCTTCTGTTCCCTCCCTCCCCCCTTTACAATCCCTGCTCTCGCTGCCTGCCACCGCCCCCTCCTCCTGAGGTTACTGCTCCTGGGGCAGTGGTGTAGGTCAGCTTCAGATCCATGACTTGAAGAGATAAAAACAGAAGACCTGGTTTGGATTTCTGTTGAGGAGGATTAGAAAGCCAGCCCTGTGTCTCTAGCTCTCTAAACTCACCCCTCATTCGCCTCTTTCTTTCTCCGCCCCGCCCCCCAACCCCCCACGTGTAGACATCCAGCTGTCTGTGTATGACACGGGCATCAGTATGTGTGGAAAAGGGGGGGCACTGGTATCCAGGAAGGTAGAGAGGCAGCTGGCCACAGGAGAGATCAGGGACTAGGTTCCCAGACTGCTTGTCTCCCAGTCAAGCGAGGAGCTGAGGAAGATTTCGAAGATCAAGGAGTCCAGGTCACTTACTGAGGAGGGAGGGCAGTGGTAAAGACCCGTGTGGTGTGGAACGGAAGATCCTGGGTAGGGTGTTTGGGGGCTTATTGGCCAGGTTGGGAGTGGGGAAAGGAGATGCAAAGATGCAAAGCGAAAGTGTGTGTGTTGGGGGGGGGGTAGGGGGGGGGTGGGGTAAGTGGGGGGGGGAAGTGAGGAAGAAAGGGAAGGTGGAAGGTATTTCTCCTTCGGGAGAAGCCAGTCTGTCTCCCTTTAAGGCAGTGACATTTCTCTCCTCTCCCTCTACTCTGCAGGAATGTAATCTAGGATGCTCATTCTCAGGTTGCTCAATGTGGTTGCCCCAGTCTACTTCTTGTGCATCTCCCTGGTGACCTTCATCCTGCAGCTCTTCCTCTTCCTCCCCAACATGTTCAAGGACCCCACAATCACCCCTCTCTTCTCTCCGGCTCTGCTGCATGGAGCTCTCTTCCTCTTCCTTTCTGCCAATGCTCTGGGCAACTACATCTTGGTGATTCAGAACTCACCTGAAGATCTGGGCACCCGAAGGAATGCAAGGGCTAAAGGAGTGGGCACCCCTTCTGAGTGGCCAGAGGCAGGCAGGAAGGCCTCATCCTCCTCGCAGAGCACCCACTTTTGCAGGCTCTGTGCTAGGGTGACCCTGAGACACGACCATCACTGTTTCTTCACAGGAAACTGCATCGGGAGCAGAAACATGCGAAACTTCATCATGTTTTGCCTCTATACATCCTTGGCTTGTCTCTACTCCATGGTGGCTGGAGTGGCCTATATCTCTGCAGTACTCTCCATCTCCTTTGCCCACCCTTTGGCCTTCCTCACACTCCTGCCTCACTCCATTAGCCAGTTTTTCTCAGGTAAGTCAGCCTGATAACAGTGACCAGTCTCAAGGTCACAGCTACCACCACCAAAATGATTATCAACATCATCATCATAGAATCTCAGAGCTGTAAGGTAATTGAGGGACCATCAAGTCAAGCCCTCTCATTTTAGAGATGTACAAAACGAAATGACATGTCCAAAGTGACACAGAACTGGAATTAGAATTATTATCTTTACTTTCTCTTTCCAGTCTCTTCTTGCCTCTTTTTCACTGGCTATGTGATCTTGGACAAGTCACTTAGATTCTCTGAACCTTTGTGCCTCAGTTTCCTCACGTGAAAAATGGGAATAATAATGCTTGCACTTCCTGTCTTACAGGGCTATTGTGAAGAAAATATTTTGTAAGCATAAGATGCCATATAAATATGTTATTAGTAGGTGGTCCAGTGGATAGAATGCTGGACATGAAGTAGGAAGACCCAAGTGGCCTCAAACTAGCTGTGTGACCTTTAGCAGATCACTTAATTGTTGTTTCCTTCAGTTTCCTTGTCTGTGAAATAGGGATAATAGCACCCACCTCCCAGGGTTGATGTGATATTGATAACATATTCTGCAAACTTTAGGTGCTATATGAATGCTCTACCTAGCAATCATGAATAACTACTTGCTAGGATTTTTTGTTTTCTCAGAGCTTTGTAACCATTTGAGTCAACTGGATCCCTTCACACTGTCCATTAAGTTCCCTTTTTACTCAACCTGGGAAGACTTGAGTCCACACCCAATGATGGATGATATACCTATTGTCTGAGGACTAATCTGCTTAATTTGGAAGAGTCTCATGACCAGGATGGCCACAGGGGGATGAATTTTTGGCCACAATACCTCATGAAGACTATTTCCAAGGGAAGAGAGGGATTGTGATTCATGCTGGCAGAGGAGACACCCATATTGATGTAACCTCAGATCCTTAAAGTATAATATCGTTAATATGTCAGGAGTTGTAATTTTGCCCACGTGTGATTTCTCTTCATTGATGCAGATCACAGATTTTGACCTGTCTGTGACTTAGTTTTTTAGCTTAGAGACATTTAGAGACATTACTCATGGTCACATAACAAGTAAAATGTCAGAGGCTGGATTTGAACTCTGGACTTCTTGACTTCATGTCCAGTGCTCTATCCACTATACCATACAATCTGCTTTTCATTCCCACACACAGACCTATAAAATAAAAAGGTTCATGAACCTGCCTGCCCCCAGATTCTAGGAAAATATCAGTGAAAAAGAGATTGCCTAGCAAAGGCTAAATCATAGACTCATAGATTTAAAACTGTATCTAATCTCAGAGCTCTCTGCCTGGGGTTGCACTAAATGCAACACTCCCCCCCCCCTTTTTTAGAGGAAGAAACTATGGGTAAGAGAGATTAAGTAACTTGTTTAAGATCACCTAGGTATTAAGTAGAAGAGCTGGGATTTGAACCCAGGTCCTCTGACCCTTACATCTAGCTGCCTTTCCACTACCCTCTGTGGGAAAAACCCCAGTGCAGATTCTTATTTCCCAAATCTTCCCCAGTTTCACTCCCCCATCACCATCTGGTGCTCTTCTAGACTGGACTTGATTGGATGGTAGCAGCATTTTAGAGAACAGATTCAGGGTGTCCCAAAAGTCTTAGTGCAGTTTTAAGCTTGAGCAGTTTAGAACTCCCCTAAGGCTTTTGGAACACCCTGTGTAATACTGCCCAAGTGACCACTGTAACTAACCTAAGTGGGATATGACTTGTGGTGGCAACTTCTATAACTTTTGCCTAGTCTTGGAATTCAGTCCCTGCATTGTTTCTTTTTACTATCACTGACCTCTGACCTTATCTGAATGTGGGTACTTCTCCCCACCTTAAGAGTGGGAGAGGGAGAAAGCTATGGGCTCAAATTGAAAAACAGTGAGAGCTCCCCTGGAAAGTGAGAATGCCCCTTATTGTCTATGTGACCTAAGGCAAGTCTCTTTCTCTCTTTGGACACCAGTTTCCTCATTTATAAGAGCACTGGACTAGATTTCAGACAGACAGATTTCAGGGAGCCCATGAATTTGGATGGAAAAAGTGACATCTTTATTTTTCCATATAATTCTTGGTTTTCTTTGTAATCCTTTTTTATGCATTTATGTAATCCCGTATTTTATTTTATACATTTAGAAACATTATTCTGAGAAGAGGACCATAGGCTTCACCAGATTACCTGAGGAGTATGTGTCACAAGAAAGGTTAAGAACTCCTGGGCTAGACAATCCACCTCTAAGGCCCTTTCTAACACAAAACTTTCAAATCTGTAACCTGTTTATGGCAAGAAAGAGCTAAAAACTTCAGGGAAACAGCCTCCTTTTCTAAAGAGCTCACTGGAAAAGGTCTATCCAATCCTAAATTCTCACTTCTCACCACCTCAATCTGGGCTGAGTGAAAGGGATAAGGACATATGCATTTTAGATATGAAAGCAGATTAAGAGGAAGAAAGGAAGTCTTTGTCACCATGAAAGAATTTAGCTCCACTGAATCATATGCCTGGTAGCTCCTGCAGCATACATACTGATGACTACCGGTGAATCCAGAGGTATAGGAGAGCAGAGCCAGCCCTCTATCCTTAGGCTTCCCTATGCATAGTATTCAACTAATTTTATCTCTAGAAATACCGCCTATAAGGTAGAGCTTGAAATATATTCATACATACTTCTTTAGTTGATTCTGCAAGGGAGATTGGTAACAAACTCCATTCCATTACCCCCATTCCATCCCTCTCCCTCCCTTCTATAAGAATAAATCAAAGGAAGACAGAGAATGGCTTTTGGGCCCCACTTACTTCTTGGAATGACGATCATGTGGGGAGGAGCTAGATTGAGGGGTAGGGGGTGTGTGGACACAAATGGAAAATTTTAAAACCACTCTGCTCCTCACAAGGTATCATTTTGGTCACAGTATGCTTTTTTATTTTTATATTTTTTATTTTTAGGCAATTGGGGTTAAGTGACTTGCCCAAGGTCACACAGCTAGTAAGTATCAAGTGTTTGGTCTGAGGCTGTATTTGAACTCAGGTCCTCCTGATTTTAGGGCCGGTGCTCTATCCACTGTCACAGTATGTTGATACAGCTTTCTGAAGCGTAGATCTTCCCAGGTGATGGAATTACCAGAGCATAATTTCATTGCAGCAAATTCGGTAGAGTTGGTGGCTGGGAGTGGAGGAGTGTTGGTACAGAATATAATTTCACGAGGGTACAGAGGGTGACCCATCTCCAAGAGAGTGTAATTATGTTCCTGTGGGGCTACCCTTGTCTTGGTAACACCAAGAGAAAGGCACCACAGTGACAGGACCCTCGGGGTATTGGCTGGTGATGGTTGCACCCCATATTGCTGGTGACAGGAGTGGAGGGATAGCATATCAACTCCAGAAGAAAGTACACCCCTGCAGATGTCAGAATCATGGGACAAAGACCCATTTGTTCCTTGCTAGTAACTACATAGAGAATCACTAATCTTGGTTAGCAGACATTTAGCTGAATCAAAGAAATTTTTAGTGCACCAAGAGATAGTTGATGAACAAGTATTAGGATAACAGTAATAACTCATTATGTAGCACGCTGATCTACAAAACACTTTTCTCAGTGCTGTGCTGTGAAGTCATTTATAAAGATATCATCCCCACCTTACAAATGAGGAAATTGAGACTAAGGGAGTTTAAATGATTTGCCCATACTCATGAAGCTAATAAGTGTCAGAAGTAGGATTCGAGGAAAAGTGTTTTGACTCCAAGTCTGGTGCCTTTTAGCCAGTACTAGGTTAGTTCTAGAACTCAGAGCCTTAAGGTTTCTGAAGCAGAAGCAAAAGGGTTTCAAGCGAAGTATCATTGTATTAGTGATCTGATACAGTGTGGCTGCTAACAAAATAGGTAGGTCAGGGGTGGGGTGGGAGTGAAAGTGAGTTCTGTGGAGGGTATGACCTGGGGCAGATGGGATGAGATGGAGTACACAAAGCCATGGAGCTGCTATTAAACTTTCTTTCCAAAGTAGTTTAATAATTTAAAATAGACTATTATAAAGAAAGAGTCCTGAAATGTCTCTATTAATGATAAGAACAAGTCTGGGAATCTCTCCAGAGTGTAGCCTGAAGTCCATTGAAAATTTACTCAGACAGGGAGGAGAAGGGGGATAAAAAGGAGCCTTTTATTTTAAATTGATAGAAGAACTCTATGCATAGTTGTGGACACCTAGAAAGTGACCTGGTGATCAACACAAAGCTCTTTCACTTATAGATGAATTAGGAATGAGCCTATTGTCTGCCCAATTCCCTGACTCCACTCCATGGAGAATGGACAAAAGCTTTTTGTCTTTTTGCTCCTTCTCTTATCCTAAGAACATCTGTATGACACTTTATAGTTAACAAAGCACTTTAGTCACAACATTATTAGGGGATAGATAATTTTGTTCCTGTTCAGTCATCTCAGACATGTCAGACTCTTCGTGGCCTCATTTGGGGGTTTCTTGGCAAAGATACCAGGGTTGTTTGCCATTTCCTTCTCCAGCTCATTTTACAGGTGAGGAAACTGAGGCAAATAGGGTTAAGTGACTTGCCTAGGATCACAAAGCTAGTAAGTTTCTGTGGCGGGATTTGAATTTGGGTCTTCCTGGCTCCAGGCCTGGTGCTCTATCCGTTGCTCCACTTAGCTGCTTTATTATTGTCTCTATTTTCTTTATAAAATTATAATATCTATTTTATAAATAAAGAAATTGTTCAAGAGGTTAAATGGTTAAATATCCAAAAGGTTATATAGGTACAACCTGAGGGAGCAATTTCTGATGCTTAGTACCTCATCCTTCCCTCCCTCTCTTGCTACCACTCCTTTATCTCTTTCTAGACCTTCCTAAAGTTGTCTTCCTACCTTCCACACCCATACCCCCTGCCCAACTCACTGAGGCACATAACTTCTACTCAGGTTGTCCATTATCACCTCCTTCCTGTCCCTTCAGTCATTTCTTTCTCCTCCAGTATCTTCCAGTCCAAAGATTTGAAGCCACAGCCATTCCCACCCACCTACCCCCAGCCTCTGAGAAAGTCTAGAAAATCCAGACAGTTCAAGTTGTTTAAAATACATAATACTGCCTCTGGCCTTATGATCTGGTATTTCAGATGCACATAATCTGCAGCCAATAAAATTGCAAGTGACATGTGTCCTAGGAAAGGAGAGGATTCTTCTGCACCAAAAGTGGCTCCTGGTTATTGTCCCTTTGTAAAAACCAGAGAAGCAGCTTTGCTGAGTGGGTATGCCATCTTGTTAGACATAAAAATCAAAATCTCAGTCAACATTTCCACAGCTTTGCACAGTAGAGAGAGCATTAGATTTGGAATGAGAGGACCTGGGTTTGAATCTTGACTCTGCCACTCTCAACGGGCATGCTCTTGGGCAATTTAACTGACCCCTATCTGTTTTGGTTTCCTCCTCTACAAAATAAAGAGGTGAAACTAGTAGAACTCTAAATCTGTGATCCTAAGGAGCTTAAAGTCCTTCCATTAATTTGCTGTGTGACTGAGAGGGCAAGTTTACTTCATCTCTTTCAACCTCAGATTTCTCATTTCTTTAGAATGGGAATGAAATAACCTGGCCTTCTCCTGGCAAGCTATGATAAATAAGATAGAGTGCCTAGAGCTCTTCAGAAGAAAGGTGCCAGAGAACTTTCTAACATTTAAAGCAGTCCAAAATGAAACAGACTATTTGGGAGGTAATGAGCTTCCTGTCACTGGAAAGGTGTAAGCCAGATCTGGATGAGTATCCACTGCCAAGGATTATTAGAGGAAAAATCTGCATTGGCCGGGTAATTGAATTCAAATGTCTAACTCTTAAGATTTTACATTTCTATGAAATCTCCAGTGTTATAATTAAACATTAGAAGGAGCAGAGACAATGGGTTTAGACAGTTCAAATACCTAGAAAGAAAACAGGCCCCAATTTGTAGACACTGCATCCTAGGGGCAGAGACAATAACATTCTCTCTATTCTATGCTTGAATTATCACTAGGCTGTATCCCTAGATGAAATGCTGTGGTAAACAGCTCTGTCTTGTCATGGCTTGTCCCTGGATCTCTCACTGAACAGCAAGAAAAGACAAAGTCAGACTATGTATGTGGGTCTACTCTAATTGCTGAGACATTTCCCCTCCCCATCTTTCCCACCTCATAAGGGCAACTCTTTCCAGTCCACCTTCCTTGAGCCCTGACTGAAATGATGTGGTGGGGGATCCTTAAGGCACTTGCTCCTTTCTTGGCCTGTGGACAACCAATAATAACCGGAACTGACAGCAGAAGAAATGGGTCAAAGGGTTGGCTTAAAAAAACCAAAATTATCCTGGTCCTTTCTCCCCTTCCTATCCCATGCCGGCAGAAGGTGATTCTTTGAAATACCAGCTGGACTGAAGTCTCAGCCTCCTGGGCATCTGGACTTATTTATTTATCTCTGACTTTGCACTAAAAGACAGTCACCAATACCCCTGGGAATTTGAGTGAGATAAAAATGCTAATGAGGAAGTCCTAACCCACTCCTGCTTCTTCCTTGCCTGGCCAGATAACACTCCTCTCAACAGGCTTTACCTAGATTTAAAAAGGCAAGATCTAGGCAAGACCTAAAGTAATGAGTGAACTGAAGTCTATGGGGCTAGGGAACATGTCAACTGGCAAGGAGAGGGAAAAGGGACATAACTGGAATAAATAGAATGGAATTTGGAATTCAAAGCCAAGAATAGATTCTAAAGCTCCTGATGGCTGTCACCTTAAAATCATTTCAGGAGATAGTATTATCTCATAGGGAGAAAGAAGGAAATAAAGGACAGCTCATGGACTCTATTCTTATGGCCATCACATTAACTATTTGGATGGACTTAGAGCAACTCAATTCAAGAAACTTTTATTAAATATCTACAGTGGACAGAATTGTTTTAAGGCACTGATAGAGATGCAAAATTCAGACAGGATATGTTCCCAACTCTTATGAAGTAGGAAATGTATGGTTCAGTAGCAGGGCATGACACATTCGAAATAACTATAATACTAAATAATAAATGAAAGATAATAAGTGAAAGCTACAAATACAATGTGTATAAAATCTAAAGGGGGAAAGGTCATTACCAATGGAGGGATAAGGAAAAATTAGGGATGTAGATTTTTTTATTAAGAATATAGGGCGGGGCAGCTAGGTGGCGCAGTGGATAGAGCACCGGCCCTGGATTCAGGAGGACCTGAGTTCAAATTCGGCCTCAGACACATATCACTTACTAGCTGTGTGACCCTGGGCGAGTCACTTAACCCCATTGCCTAGCCAAAAAAAAAAAAAAAAGAATATAGGGACTTTTGAAATCATCTAGTCAAGCTGATCATGTTAACAGAGGACAAAATGAAGGCCTAGGGAGGTTAAGTTACTTAAGAGTCACACAAACAATGAATGGTAGAGACTAGATTTGAACAAAGGTCTTCTGACTCCAAATTAATACTCCATCCACATTGGGCCTTAAAGGATAGACAGTAATTCAAAGGGCATAGGTATACCTAAATGGCCCATTAGATCCCAGAAGAGCAGGGAAGAGTAGAGAAAATTATGTTTGGGGCTTTGGAATTTAACTTAAGCCACTGTACTTCATTTCCTTCAAACATGCTTTTCACAGCTGTAAAATAGATGTGTGACCATGATTAGGGAGAATTGAAAGTAGAACTAGAGCTAAAAACTGGTTAGTTTCCCTTTCAACCTGAGTTGTTTGAAAATGCTTTGATGTCCCTCTTAAGCTCAAAGAACAGCTAAGCTGATAAAACATGCTCACATGAGACAGTTTCAGTTGAGGTTGGCTTGGCCCAAACTTCTTTAGTTTGAGTTAAATGTAGACCTTGACCAGTTCCTGAAGGTTCACATCTTCAGGAAGTTTCTCATTTCATGAGTTAATTGGGATACAGAAAAATATATTGAGGTTAGAGCTAAGGAAGAACTTCCTAGTTGTGGGAAGCTGACACAGAAAAGTTTAGACTACTCATTCATAGAAAAACTGAAGAATGGGGTACAGTAGACAATGACCTATCTGGGTCAGTTTAAGTATGGTCTTATTTATAGGCAGGAAGATATACTAGATAGCTTTGGGAGTCATTCAGCCTGAAGAGTCTAAGATGAGTGCTCTGTTCACTCTGCTGTCATTTCTTTAATGACTTTTAATCACTCCTAAGGTGAGTATTCTTAGATCCAATCCTGTGACTTATTCTTGGCAATTGTGTCACAATTCTGTTTGTAGAACTGAAAAGCCTTAAAGATGCCCTTGACCAAACCACCTTGTTTGACAAAATGAGGAAACTGAGAGCCAAAGAGATGAAGTGATTTGTTTAAGCTAGTAAATAGTAGAGGTAGGATTTGAAACCAGATCTTCTGGGTCTGAAACTATTTCTCTTTCCACTAGATCACAGTCTAGAGTCATTATTCTGTCCCAGTTAACTCCTCTACCTTATAAATTGACAACCATCTAGTGGTAGGTTTCCTGTTTTGTCCTTTAATGCCATCATCTTGTTCCTCTGCCCTGATATAAAAATTTCCTTCTTCTTGTTCCCAGCTGAGAAATAGAAAGGAGGGAAGTAATGATACAACTCCATAGAAATACCAAGTGTTCTTTTTCATGTTCCCTAAATGAAAAGCATAATGGATCTCTTACCTTTATAAACCACTCTTTCTATTCTCTCTCACTTTCATCTCCTGGCCCTCCCTTCCTGTGACCCTGATAAACAGCAGCAGCACAGAAAAAAAAAAAGTTAGGGCAGTTAGTTCATTTCTTTTCTCCCCTTGCTGCAGCTCTGTCTGCAATTGCTTCAAAATGTAGCTTCAGTCTCATTAATCTCCTGGTGGAAATGCATGAATGGGTAATGTTTCTGTACGTGGTCTGGATGCATAAAATGTTCTCTCTCCTTTTTTTTTCCTGCTCCTCCTTACTGCTCCCCACCCCCTACCAGGAGCTGTCCTTGGTTCTGAAATGTTTGTCATCCTCATGCTATACCTCTGGTTTGGGATTGGATTGGCTTGTGCTGGCTTCTGCTGCCATCAACTTCTGTTGGTGCTCAGGGGACAGACCCGACACCAGGTGCGGAAGGGGATGGTGGTTCGTGCCCGACCCTGGAGGAAGAATCTGCAGGAGGTCTTCGGAAAGAGATGGCTCCTGGGCCTTCTGATCCCTATGCTCAATGTGGGAAGTGAATACCCTCAACATAAGGGCAAATAACAGTCCCACCCTACCTGGCTTGTCTCTCTCACACCCTTTCTTTTCTTTATCTCTATCCCTGCCTGAACACAAGCACATTTTCTCATTTCTACTCATGATCCACTAGAATACTCAGCAGTAGGGAAAGGTCAAGTCAACTCTCAGCATATCAACCTACAATCAAGTAAATAGACAGTATTAAATAGAGGACCAACTGCCACTCAGTAGAGAGGAAATCCAATAGCCCAGAATTCTGAAATTCATGTCACTAGGAAAACAAACTGATGAGATGACCATGAATTCCCTTAGGACTGACTCCTACTGCTCTCAGAACTTTCTCTTAGATCCTCTTTTCTCTCCTAACCCCCAATTTCCCAATCCTTATGTCTCCACTCATAACAATTATATATGATGTCATGATTAGTTAGGAATCCTCCCCTCTGTGTAGTTCTCCTCCAATACCCTGATGAGGGTAAGATTGAGGAATGATGGATTGCTGAGGCTGGTGCAAATCTCAGAATGACCTTAGAGGCAATGAGAAATGTTCAGAAATAAAATATATGAGAGGTAGCAAAGCAGTTGCTAGCCCCTATCCTGCCAACTACAGGAGAGACTAAGAGAATTTTAGAATAATAATAACTGACATTAATTTAGTGAGTTAAAGTTTGTAAAACACTTTGCATCTATTTATCTCAATTGAACCTCACAGCAACACTATGAGGTAGGTACTACAGGTTTTATTATCCCAATTTCACAGATAGGGAAATTGAGGCTAAACAAACTTAAGTGACTTTGCATGGTTACATGGTAAAGATGGTGGGATTTGACCCCAGATTTTTCTTGACTTCGAACCCAGCCCTTTTATACTACCCCACATTGCCTCTACAATATTAATTTGGGAAAGGATCTTAGAGACCATGTAATCCAACTCCTTCATTTTGTAGGAAATAGAGTCCCAGAGATTTCCCATACCATTAGTCAGTGGCTAACTGGTACTAGAACCCAGATCTCCTGATTCCTAGTCCAGAGCGGGATAGTCCTTCCATGCTCTCTCTCCTCCAAGGTATGAGAACAAAAAAGGAGGAAGGACTGATTCAGTTATTCCTTTTCATAATAACACAACAAGGTGACAGCAGATGGCCTTGTATTTTTACTTTCCAATCTGCCAGCTGTCCTGCCCACCCCACCCTACCCTGTCTCTGCTGCTCACCACAGCTCAGAGTCTAGTGATCAGCTTGATTTTAAAGCCAATTGCTCCTCATCCACCTGGCTCCTTTCCAGCTCTTCTTACTTGGTTGGCAGCCAGGAAGACAAGGACAGTAGTTAGAAAGATAAAAAGGAGAAGTGAAGATAACTTAGAAAGGTGAGTAAGAGTATTTAGTGACTGTGTGTGTTGGGTCAGCAGCATGAACTGCAGTGTGTTGGGTTCAGGAATGAAAGGGCTTGAGATTAAAACCAAAAGAGTGTTTGATGAATGAGAGTTTATTGTTAGAGAGGGAGACTTATCAAAGAAATTTTACAGTACATGTACAAAGGATCATATGCAAATAAGAATCCAGAGCTGGAAGGGTTCTTAGAGGTTGTATAGTTCAACCACATCATGTTATAGAGGAGGAAACAAGTCCAAAGAAGTGACAAAACTTGCTCAAAGTAATCCAAGGATGTGACAGAGCCAGAAATCAAAACTAGATTTTCCAACTCCAAATCTATTGCTCATTATTCTACACCTCATTTTGGCTCACTGTACCAAAGACCTTTTGAATTCTTAGACTTTACCAACAATGAAATGAGCTGCCTTCTGGTGTAGTAGCCTCTCCCTCTTTGGAAGTATTCAAGAGAAGCTGGATGAATTAGTGTCAAAGATTAGGTCATTTGACCCTTTAGTTCTACCACAACCTGTAGTAAACCTTGAAGGGGAGGATAAATAGTAAGTTGGCACTAACAGGGAGATTTTTTTAGCAAGTCAGATTGGGGAGAATCAGTGGGTGGGGAGTCCTTGTTTCTGGCAAGCAGGTATTCTACAAACCTAAGGATCTCTGACTTCAATTGCCTGTACTAGATTAGAGATGGAGAATAAAAATCAAAGTCCTGATCCTCTCCAGATTCTACAGAGCCCTTGCTAGCTTCTTCCAAGCTATGAAACTGGTGATACAGTTTCTTGGAGTCTGAAGGTTTACTAGGGATGTCAGTGCAGAATAATCTAAGAAAGAAAGTGGAGGACCCTTGCCAAGTCACTTCACTCCACTGCCTCACAAAAAAACAAAGGAAGTGGGACAAGTGAAAGTTAGGGAGACAAAAGTCTGATTCCCATCAATAGGGAGGAACCGAGTGACACTCACACACGGTACTGTATTTTCAACAATGAATGACAATAAAGTGTTTGTTTTTTAAAATTTATTTTAAGTTACCATCTGGAATCTTTGGCTGTCAGCTGATTTATTGTGCTGTGTTTAACCCTCACATGGATGTGCTGTAACTGTTCATTGGTGATTTATGGGCACATCAAGGAGCCCTATCCCCTTTCTTCTTCTTTCTCTTCATCTTCATCTCTTCTTCCTCTTTCTTATTTGCCATCCCCTTATCTTCTGCCTTCTTCAACATCTCCACTTTCTCCTACTCTTTCTCTTCTTGTTCCTATTTCTCCACCACTCCATCATCTTCTATCTCTTCCTCCTTTTCTTCTTCCTGCTCCGGAATTTCTGAGTTCTCTATTCTTCCTATCTCTTCTCCCCCCACTCCACCAATACACACATTCACAATACCATCATACACTAACTATTTCAATTTTCTATGCCTCAATCTTTTCATCTAATTAAATGTACCCTCTTCTTGAAGTCTTACCCTAGAGTTGTGGCTTTTTCATTCCAAAATACAGGGACCCAAAGGGTTTTAGGTAGCTATTTTTAGTATTAGCAAACCAAAATATTTTCTCTTCCTCCTATAGAAGGAAAGTCATTCCTTTACATAGAACAGTCCCATTCATCCCATCACTGTTTCAACCAGTTTCCCTTCTCCTGGGATTGCAGCTCTCTTTGTTGCACCTGGGTCCACATACATTCTGTGGCTCCTGCCTGTACTGCTTTGCTATTCCCCACGGGGAATGGGCTCTGGGGCTGCTATGACACAGTTTTTTTCCCCACTGAGGCATAAAAAGAAATTTATTGACAGGAAGCCAAATTAGGATGCTTATAAACTAGATATTCCCAAGAAGTCTTAACTGTGAGGCCAAAGGCTTTAGAGAAGGAATACTAGCATAAGTTTATATGGTTGCTTTACACAACAGACTTTCACATATCATATCTCATTTGATTCTTACTATAACCCTACCAGGTAAATAGTGCAAGTATTGGTACTACCCCTGCCTCCACCCCCATTGATGGGAAAACTGATGTCCTAAGACATTAGATAATTTGCTTAATATCACACAGCTACTGAGCATTAAGGACAGCTAGACAGCTCAATGGATAGAATGCCAGGCCTGGAAGATCTGAGTTCAAATATGGATGCAGACATTTGTTATATGTGTGATCTTGGGTAAGTCACTTAGCCTGTTTGCCTTAATCCACTGGAGAAGGAAATGGCAAACCACTCTAGTCTCTTTGCCAAGAAAACCCTGTGGACAGTATGGTCCACGGGGTCATGTAAAGTCAGACACAACTGAATGACTGAACAGCAACAATAATAACAAGTGAGCATCAAAGTCAGAACTCAGGATTTGGAGTTAGAAGGGAACTCAGAGGCCATTGACTTCAACCTCTTTATTCTGATGACCTCAGAAGAGGAAACGGAGGCCCAGGGAAGTCACATTAACTTGTCTAGGGTCACATAGTCAATAAGTGACTAAGGCAGGATTTGAACTTGTCTTCTTAACTCCATGCCCAGCCAGCACTCTGTCCATTGTGCCACCTACCTGATGGACTAAACTCTTCCAATCCCAAGTTCTTTTTGCCACACCACATTGCATTCCCTAAATAGCAATAAGCCCATGGAGAAGAACCAGTGGGGCCTTAGATCAATTTCAATGGTCAGATTATATTGTTGCTCATATAGCCATGTCAGTGGGGCCCTGGTGAGAGATGGCTACATTTTAGTTACAGAAACAAGCAAACACAACTCATGATTTGTCCCCAGTTCCTTTTCCCTTTCCTTTTCCCTTTGGGGTAATATATGTTGTCTGAAATTATTTGGGAATAACTAGACTCATAAGCTCACTATCTTTTTACCTTCTCTGCTGTCAGATTTGTGAGTCAATGAAGTGCCACGAACTCCCCCTTTCCATTCACACGGTTCAATACAGAAGGAGCAAACACAAGGTGCATACAGGTCACGTTTAGAGGCAGAACATTGGGGTGGGGAAAAGAGCCCTGGCCTTAAAGTCAGAAGTTCTGAATACTATTAGCCTCATGACTATGAGCAAGTCACTTTACAACTCTGAGCCTCAGTTTCCTCACATGTGAAATGAGGACAACACTTGGACTATTTACTTTATAATATTGTTCTGAAAAAGTGCTTTGGCAGTCTTAAAAGAATGTCTAAAGGTGAATCATTGTTATCTAAGATGGCATTTTTCATCTATTTTCCTTTCCTTGAGGGTGCCTTAGGGTTCTATCCACCCCAAAGTTAATTAATATACTCAAGCAGGTAGTTGACTATTTGACTTTTCAGTTCAAAGTCCACTTGATAATTCCTTATCAACCCCCATGGGTCCCCTATCTATATATTCCTATTTGCTATTGACCCCAAACTAAAAATCATCATAAGCCATATAACCAATGGCCCCATGAAGGAATGCCTGGCTTTTATGAAGTCTCATCAGTAAATGAGGATACAGTAAACTAGGTAGATGGAGGAATTTTGGGGAAACATGGACAAGGGTCCTACAAATTGAGAAGGGGTAGAAAGGCTATAATCTGTATGATTGATTCATCCACGGATGACATTAGGGATCCATCAAAATATTGCTAGTATTATTAATAAATGATAAACTCAAGCTAGAAACCAATTCTAGAATTCACCACATT